CGGTCGTGACATGCCATCAGCATCACCGTGATCCCGACCTTTTCTGTATTTGACTTCTATTATTTGTGGAAGCACATCTTGATGTTTAATTAACCATTCCGCAATTCGTTTGCTATTGAATTTCCGCTTCTTGTGAAATTGTTCCAATGGTTTGTGATCCAAATGAACCATGACATTCTTTCCACCTAAGTACTGCTGCAATTTGTCCATGCACCAAAAGATGGTCAATGCCTCTCGGTCGATCGTTGAATAATTCTTCTCGGTGGATGTTAACAATCGAGACTGAAAGTAATTATAATGAGTTTGGCCGTCTATAATTTGTTTTAATGTGCCGCCAATCACATACTCTGATGCATCAGTAGCCAAAATAAACAGTGCAGTTGGATGAGGATACTTCAATACTAGTGGTTCGTCTGTTAATACTTGTTTTAATTTATTTGCTGCTTGAACCTGATCCTTAGGGCTTGTCCAAGCGTGACGCTGTGACATTTTTGACACAGTAATTTGAGCTTTCCTCAAAACGTTTATAAGCTAGAACCGTCGTTCTTGCGCCGTTCGACGCAGCTCGCCATACTCTACTTTTGGTATAAAAACGAAGGTATGTGGTTAAGGGCTCAAACTTTTAGAAGCGTTTTTCGGCGCCAAGACCTTGTTGACGCGCACCAATTTTTTTTATAGCTAGCTCTTGGTGCACTGGTGATGGAAATGTTTTTTGTATTTGAATCGCAAATATCGACCACTCTGTTATCACCGCCGTATTGTTGATGAACCAGCGATGAGCGTCATCCTACATTAATTAGATCTAATTAATTGTTTTTTTTAAATTACTGCTAAATTTGGGAATTTCTGCTTGAAAATTAGATCAGAAGATAATTTATTATATCCTGTTCGAAAGACCGACAAAAACACTTCTGATTTCTATAAGTACATAATTTCAGACGTATTCTGTTATGCGAACAAAACACGTTTGATGAGAAAGAGACGTTCGAAGAGTGCGAAAATTGCAAAAACTTTTCAAGTGACGTCTGGTATTTAAATTTTTTCTCATTCAAAATCAATGTTTTATATGTCTTTTGAAGTTCAGATTTCGGTCTTTTCAACCAAAAAAACTTAATATCTCCGTATTGGAATATGCTTCGACATTTGTCCAAGAAGTTTTGCATGAGCCGTTATCTGGCGGTGAACTGCATTTCTTTTCTTTTCCAGCAAATCTTTTCCAGCACGATGTTTCTTCAAAAGAACTTCATGTTTTCTCGTGAAGAAATCGATGTGTCTTCACAAGAACTTCATTTCTTTTCCTGGGAAACTTTGCGGTTTTTCACAAGAAACTCGACTTTTTTCCGGGGTAAATCGAGCTTACGTGAGGAGAACTTGATGATTTTTCCTGCAGAGACCAGATGTTTCTTCACCGCAACACTCGCCGATTCATAATGTTTTCGAAAACTCAACGCACCTACTTTTAGCTGAAAATTACGCGGGTGAATAGCGGAGCTTTTAAACTACTTTCTGGTAGATTGGAGTTTACATGAAGATTCAAATGAAAGTCTTTTGTTTGTAGAACCGGTAAACTGAGTACGCGCTTTTTCCAGTGAATTCACACAAGCTAATTTTTTTTAGTTAACCATGACTTGCTGCATCTATGGTTAAAGCTAATCAATGATAAAATGCTTCTGCAAGGAACTGGAACTTTATCGTTTTTGAGGATAGTTC